TCGTCGCTACGACGCTACTCTGGAGCCAACAAGCACCGCCTCTAAATAAAATCTCCCTTAAAATCACAAGAAAAAAATTGTTTGGAGGTGCATGTGGGTTCACTGCTGCTCTCCCAGCACAGAAAGTGCAGTAGGGTATGAAAGTGGCATGATGAGCAGTGGGTACATTCAGCAAAGGGATGGGCTTAAAGGAGGCAGAGGGGTTATATTAACAAATCATAATAAGGGCCGTGCCACGGGTCCCTCCAGGCTGGGGGAGTGAAGAAAGGAAAAAAAAGAGCTACTGTGTGGAAAATCAAGTCGTTGTCACTGCACTTGTCGACTCAAAGAGTGTCACTGATCCCCACAGTTTGCCTTTTATTTATTTATGAGCCACATAAAAATATGGATTTATGGCGGCGTGTAAGATGTGGGCCCAATCCTCGACCGTGAACACCTGTTATTACGCATATATTACACTCCAATAAGACCACCTCAGGTAATAATTGTGATCTTGTAAAATCTGAATATAATTATAAAGCTGTAACAAATCAAAAAACAAACACCAACAACAAAAAAAGAGAGAATATGAACGTAACTGTCTTAAGTAATACAGAAAGTGAAAGCTTGGCTTGCCTGTACACGCCGTCCTTGCAGGAATAATGGTGAATTAGCTACTTATTACTACTTATATTCATGACTTATACAGCCTTACCAGAGGCATCTGTTTTGGCACCAATATCTCTTATTGGCTTTTACACTTTTTAATTAAAGGTGGCGACAGTTTCCATTTTTAAGCCTTGAATAGTACCAACAGCCCCAGTGCGCAAATTGTAAAAAAGGAGCAAATATTTATTTTAAGCTGCTGATAAGAAGGAGCGAGGGGATCCCAGGCCTTGTGCTGCATGCGCCCTCCATGCGGTGCCACTCAGGCCACTCATTTAAATATATATATATATATATATATATTACCCTACGCATGATGTAGCATCCAGTCTCTTTTGTGTGTGCGCACGGATGGGTGTGTTTGGGAGGGAAGCACGGCTAAACGTAAGGCGAATTTCAAACAAAGGCTGAAATGTCAGTGAAAGGTTGTGGCTGCAGGGCTCGTGCATGGATGTGTAGTCCTTCTACCTACACTACCGAAGAAGGGGGAGGAGCCTCGTGCTTACAGCAGCTGAGTGTTTCTACATGTGACTGGCCTGTGCCTTGGAACATTACTGCCACCCCACTGTAGTGGAGATAGTGCCAACAGCAGCAGTACTGACCATCCCTGCCCTGTTTACGTCAGTATGCGAACAGCGGAATGTCCAAACTGTGGCCTATTTACAAAACAAGCTCTTTAGTTACTTTCCTAGGTGACCTGCTAACACAGTTGTCTTGGGTCTTTACGCTTAGAGATCAGAATCACCATTCAAACAAGTCATTAAGTCGCTTTGAACGCATTAATAGCTATTTTATTAATGTTACCACTCCCCATGATCAGTATAGAAGTCATAAAATCACATCCATGCGCCGCATTTGCATTTCCCCGTGAAAAGCAGGGTTTGTTTACATGTGTTCTTTTTATGTGTTATGCCCAATTAGGTCAGTGTGCTGACAAATCACGCCAGCCACCCAAAAATTATTTCCACTCTGAGGGGAAAATTGAGCTGAGAGTGGAAGGGATGTGACATTTGGGGAACGTGCTGAGAACTGCTGAACAAAACTCACTACACACATACTGCACATGTAGACTTGTGGTAGAATATGGAAATAAATAGGCTTATGCACTTTCCAAGGTGTGGTCACTGGTTGCTGGTGTCTTTCTGCTGGTCTTCCCCTTTTTTGGTAGTGAAAAAAAAAAGAACATCTTTGTGAATTTTTCTTGCTTCTAACTTGCATTAATTTTTACGGTATCCTTGCCCAACACTGTTTTATTTATCATTTCTAACATCTTTTACTTTAATTCAAGGTTTAAAGTACTAATTTATAAATTATGGAAGTTACAATGCTCCCTTGCAATGTATTTAGTTTGATTAATTTCAGCACTAAAGCCACAAAAGTCCACAATATAAACTGTTGAATAGGGTTTGGGGTAAAATAACCATTCAAATCAGAGCTGAATTTAGTGATATTGTTGTATCTTCTGTGTGTCTATTACAGGGTCAATTTCTTGCTTGGTTGTGCAGTAAACCAAAGTGTAAAGCATCCATTTACTCAGTGAAACTCAAACAGCTGGAGGGCATCAAATACATCAGATATGGCTAATTTTAAGATTTAGAATTTTTAAAAATTGTCAATATCTCCACCGTGGGAATCTAATTAATTTTATCAGTTATTCACCCAAATTCTGGACAAAACCAAAAATAATTTGAGGTGCTTGTGCGCAGTGCACCACAAATGAAGTCATTTCACCTCAATGGTCTTGGCGTGAAGCGAGGAATCTCAGAACGGATATTGCAAAGCCTGGACAAATAAAACAAAAATTATCTGCATGGCTTGATCTCACTTGAGATAAGAGGGGGGATTGTGTTTTTTTTAATAATTTGGGTGAACTGACCCTTTGAGTAAAGAAACTGCCTGTTTTTACAAGACATGAGCTCTGCCTCTCCGCCTCCCCCTCTCCTCTCTGGCAAAAAGGGAAAAACTACAATAAGCGAAGAATCCAACAAGTAATTTTTCCATGTAATGTACTGTATGTCATGGATACAGATTTGGACCATTTGTGACCAGCAGGGGTAGATGTTGGACTTTGCTTTCCTGCAGCTAGGTGCTACTCCGAGGCTCTTGCTTCACCTTGTGGTGAAGGTTTAAACAGTGTGCTTGGTGTAACTGACTTGATTTCACAGTGGCTGTTTAGCTGCATTTAGTCACGGATCAATTTTACTCAAAACCACGTTAAAAAATAAATAAATCATAAAGCAGTCCAACGACTCACCTTCTTCTGACATTAAATAAACGTTTTCTATGGCTATACAAGGCGAATCTATTGTGGACAAACCTGCTGTACTACAATTTGGTAACCTTTGACCCTCAACAAAGCAGGCTGGAAAATGATATTGATATTCTAGTCTTACTGACAACCTGAAGCACTTTACGCTGCCCACCACATTCATAGTTTTCAGGCTATTCATGCAGCACTTTAATCCTGTATCTACAGCCAGTTTAGAAGCACCAATTAGCCTGATAGTACTCCAGCTTTTTATTGCATTGGGAAACTGCCTCAAACCCTTATTTATTATCAATCATTAACAATTAAAAAAAAAAAGGATCCATATGTAATTTAATGTTAATAAGGGTCAGCATGATTGCATAAACAAACTGCTCTTTGTGTATTTTTCTCCTAAGCAATCATATTCATTTTAGATCATTCCCCTGGTTGACTTAAAACCTAAAGTTTGCATTGAAGAAGCGGATTTATCTGCAAACAGTCCCCACTTGCTGTCTAAGTTGTAGTGAAACTTGGAAATTGTGTAATGGAAACCAGAAACAGAGACTATTCACTTTCAAAGAAGAAGTTGTACATTACTGCTGCAACCAACAGATGTCAAAAGGTCCAACTTTAGGCCATTACACGGCAAGCATGTTGCAAAAAAAGTGACACGAAAGCCCAGATTTTTCAGTTCTGAATTGGTCAATCCATCCATCCTCTACCGTTTAACTGGGTTCAGTTTGTGGGTGCAGCAGTCTGAGCAGAGAAGCCCAGACTTCCCTCATCCCAGACACCTCCAGCTCATCCGGTGGGTCAGGGTGCATGCCTGGCTACTTGTGATTGCTGTGGTTATCTGCAGTTTGTATGGTAGAAGCTGAATTATCTGCAAACATTCACCATTTGTTGTCAATCCAGGAGGTATCCTAGTCAGATGCCTGAATCACTTTAACTGGCTCCTTTCAACGTGGAGGAGCAGCTCTATTCCGAGTCCCTCTTGAATGACCGAGCCCCGCCACTCTTCAAAGGAAACTCATCTCTCCCACTTGTATCCGCGACTACATTCCCAGAGCTTGTGACCATAAGTGAGGGTAGGGGGACTGGTTAATCGATAGCTTAGCTTCTATACTCAGCTCTCTCTTCACCAAAACACATCTGTTCAGCATCTGCATCACTGTGGACGCCATCCCAATCCATCTGTCAATCTCATGTCCCACTCTTCCCTTACTCTTGAACAAGACCCCAAGACACTTGACCTCCGCCACCTGCACGGGAATTAGCACATCCAAGTCCAAGACCATAGATCTCAGATAGAAAACGGTATAGTGCTAGCTATGGGTGAGGGATGAGTTACTACCCTAGGTGGAGGAGGTCAGAACTTGTAACGTATAAACATCAAACACGTTGCGTTTCTGCAGAACATCTGTCCTCCAAAAACACACTGTTGACACCAAGCAACGATGAGCAGATCCTGATGTTTCTAACCAGAAAAGGGAGAAACTGAAATTCTGGATTCATTACTTTGATTTCAGAGAGCCAACTGACCCAGAGAAGCATCTAGCTGTGTTTGAGGTTTAAAAACCCCCCAACAAAATAGTATAATTTTACCATTTGTATATTCAGCACAGAGACGAGTTTTAAGCTATGCTTGTTGCCAAACGAGTTGTCTAACTGGTCAGATCTGTTTACTCTAGTCTGAAAAGTTAGGGGGAAAATAAATTAAAAAGTTCCAGCTTGGTTAAAAAAAACAAAACAAATCCATCCAGCTAAACGTGGTCGGCATGAACAGCTGCAGTAAGGAAAGGACGAGGCCTGAGTGATTGAGCTTTTAACAGGAAGATTAAAATACTTTTGTGTTTTACTATTTCATCAAAGCAGTTTTATTCCTGATGTCATCCTCACCCACTTGACACTATACGAAGCACTCCAGAAAATGTAACTTAACTCAAATCAATAGAAATGCTTTGCACAAATTCTGTAGAAAGAATATGCATAAATATCATAAAGTCAAGGCTTTAATATATTCATGTCAGCATTACGACTATCTTGCAAATGCAATAGTCTATTGTAAAAGGCATAAAAATACTGCGAGGAAGGACATGAGTCAAGGTGGGAAAAACAGATCTGCTTTTTAATCTGCTCCACTATACAACAAAAATCTGACATGAGTATAACATTTACAACAGGCGTTCAAAACATGAAAGCACCGCTTCATAAATTTACTATACTTTTGTATTTTAAGCAAAAAGATGTTTGATGATTACAGTAAGAAAGATGTACTCTGAAGTCAATCATATCTGTCTTTACAAAACGTAACAACCCCCCACAAAAAAAGCCAAACAAAAAAATTCTGCATGTTTGGGAAGATAAGGGGACAGAAGTCTTCAATATCGACCTGTGAAACAAAACAGGGTAATTAAATGACACAATACAACATGCTGGATTCTTCAATAAAAACTTCTGATACTTTATTGAAATGACTTACGGGGAGAATAAGACCGTGACCTCGATCGAGACCTGTAAGCGCCTCTGTAGTAAGGTGAAGGAGATCGCCTTCTAGAGGAACAAAGACCGTTTATCATTTTTGTCAGTGTCAGGGGGATAAAATAAAGAACAGCAAACCCAAATACGACACGATGAGAATAAAGTAACCGCTGATATCCTTTAACAGTCACCTGTATGATCTGTAGTAGTCCCTGTCATCATAGCGGTCGTATCCACCTCGGTCATATCCACGGTCGTATCCACGGTCGTAACCACGGTCGTAGTCACGTGAATAGCGTCGGGGACCGCTTGGGCCGCCTCCTCCGCTACACAAAAGCAATAATATAAGATTTTTCACGCTACACAAAGCGTACTTTTGCATTATTTTACTGTTACATTCTCACCTCCAATTAAAAAGATTTAAAAGAAGGTTTTTGGTGCAGCATTATATACCACTTTTTCACAAATTTCACCTAGCAACTGCCAGAACCTACTTGCTTACACTGTTCTCTAGTTACCTGTGGTTATCAGGGGGTCACTGACTAGACTCTAGGGCTGTGTGACTGAGACCTTAGCAACCACTCGCCAAGAGGTTGGAGAAAGCCTTTGAAGAGGTTAGTTGTGTCATTTTTACCATTAAAATCTCTGCGTTCATTTTAGGTTCAACTGGATACAACTTATGACACAGGGACTAATTTTGTAAGAGCCTGTTTCTATTTTCTTTTTTTCCTTTACTGTTGACTGATTAAATGTTGAATAAAAACACTACTTTTCAGGTTTAGTAACACTAAGAATTTTATTTCAGATGCTTTGATGTGTCCATAAGTTAGAGCTGTCTTATATTACAAGCATTTTCACTGTCTTTGTTTAAAAACATATTTAATTATTCCACACAAAGAGATTGCTTACTATGTGGGCCGGCCCATGTAAATTCCAGGTGTTGGGGTGTGAGGTCTTTTTGTGATGGAGAAGTCCACCCTGATTGTACGCCCGTCCAGCTCCATGCCATTGGCTCGCTCCTTCGCCTGAAAGTGAACATAAATTACACTTGCAGTCCTAGAGGATATTTTAAGTATAGGTGTGGCAGGCGGGTTTATTTATTATTGTTCTTGTACCTCTTTGGCATCATCTGTGTTCTCGAAATACACAAAAGCAAAGCCCCTGGAGCGCCTCGATTGCTGGTCATACACAATGGAAACATCCTCCAGGGGGCCGTATTTGGAGAAGACGTCCCTCAGATCCCTCTCTGTGGTGTACAAGCTCAGGCCAAAGACTCCCAGGCAGCAATTCGGATCTGGATTAGCCTGCAAATTTGAAAGGGTTCAAGATTTGGATGTGATCATTTTCTCATTAAAATCATTCATTAAACCAATACATCCTCTGTTTTTAGATATCACACATTGCTAAGCACATACACGGTTGCCAATGTGCCTCCGACGATTGGACATGGGTGAATGGCTGTGGCTTCTGCGCCGACGCTCTCCGCTGTAGGACCTACTGTGAGATCGGTGATGATAGGACCGTGATCGGGAGCGGGAGCGGCTGTAGTGTCTCCGTGAGCGGTGGGAATGTGACCTATAGAGAGCGAGAGAAACAAACAACCCATATTCATACGTTCTCTGGCAATTTTCATGTAATTCCACAAATTTACATTTGTCTTTATGAAAATTATAGCATGGACTAAAAAAAATAAAATAAAAAAAAGCATGAAATATTTAAAATAACTGCCAAAACATCACAGACTCTAGTGAAAAGTAACCCCACTTACCACTGTCACAATCTCTAACACTAAACCCTCTGTGACGTCAAATTTCCAACAAGGCTTTATTGACATTGTCGCAAACTTTTGAAAAACGACAATTTACTTTGGATTTCTGTGCAACTTAAAGTGTTTCTGTCAAAAATACACCTGGTGCTGTATTGCTGAATGACAGCGCTGCCCCTGCACCTTACAAACAGAGTAAAAAGTCTCTCTCCTGTGAATGGGGAAACAGAATGCACAAGTCAAATGTCTTATTGGAGGTACTTTAAGCTGCTCCCTTATTTCCCAAGGGGCTGCCACAGTGTGGATTGATCTGCATGTTTGCTTTAACACAGCCCTCCTATTTATCCAGGCTTGGGACCACCACTAGGAGTAATAATATTAAAGAGATGAACAGGTGAAATATTTTTTAATAGCCTAAAAGTAATAAAACAGTCAGAAAACAGGTAGAAGTGCACACAGTCTAATGGATGAAACACTGCACACAGAAATACTGTGTATGTATTTAAGAGCTATTTAAAACCATTACTCACAGTCTTCTATAACCACATCATATTTAAATGTTGATGAAATGTGTGGCACTTTGCATCATGTAAAACACGCACAATGTCAAATTAATTTGCAGCGTGTGGCTAAACCTAGCGATGCTAGTTAAATGCCAGTTTCCTGTGACGTAGCCAACACACAAACCTTCTGTTTTCTAAGATCAAAGTACTGCAAAACCCGCCGGCTCGTGCCTCTTTCGCTTGGTAACAACTTCCTGTCACAGAGATTGAGAGTGAGAGATAGAGACAGGCTCTCACCTGCTGGGGCTGCAGACAACTACGTAACATCTGAGACTGAACCGTTAAGCTGCGTTGTGCCTCAATGAAATATGAACATACAGTTTAACTGAATAGTGTTTGTTGTCAACCATCAAGAGCTGCAACATTTAATTCCCCACTGAAAATTTGCACTGAAAGTGTAAATTTTACTTGCATGGTCCGATCTACTGACATTGTCACTGCGTTTGTAGCACAGTGACCAGGACACTCATTCACACATGACGCAGAAATTGGCAGACAATGCAGATGTAAATGTCTTTTTTTGTTTGTTTGTTTGTTTGTTTGGGGGTTTTTTCAACAACTTGGAAGTGAAACTCTTGAACTTTTGCAAGATTTGTCAATGGCCAGAGAAACGGAAGAAGTCAGCTCCACAGAGAAGTCCCCTATCTGGGTTTGAACCCATGATTCTCTTGCCGTGAAGCCCTGAACAGGGTGGGTATAACATGAAAGTGGCCATATTGAGTCTGTTGATCGATAGTAGAGAATTTTATGCCAGTGTATTACTCACCAAGATTTTGACCTTGACCGAGAGCGAGATTTGGAGCGGGAGCAGTGGGAGCCTCCTTTTGAGTGGGCAGGGGATTGAGCTGGGGACTGGCTCCCCGACTTCCCAGAGCCCCGTGGGCTCACGCTCCTGGATGCAGAGCGAGACTCCTGAACGAACCACACACATTTTTTTATCAGCACCAATGAAGTGATCAACACATACATTTGCCAAAATATTACTGTGTATTTAAAAATTAAGACTATCCTGTGAAAAGTACAGGAAGGAAACTGAATTTAGGGTTGTGAAATAGGAGTGCTGTGTAGTCATGGATAATATGACATCAATATGTTTACATTAATAGGTTGTTAAATAGTGGGGGGAAAAAAGAAAATTGTCAGTTGTGAGATAAAATTGCAATGATTTAAACTAATGTGTGTGTATTGAATAAGAAGAACATGCACGCATTTGACAAACAGACCAGAAATTTACTTAGCGCAGTGACCTTATCCAGATTACTTCCTTAACTTCATTTCTGTAACTTCATTACTTGACATTATTCTTCTTTCTTCAATTGTCTTACTTCTTCTTACTTCCCCATCTCTCACACACTGCCCATACTTCTTCCCTCCTCATGTTTTAGCATGCATTCAACAATTCAGCTTCACACATCTGAGCTTCATATTATTGAAAATAAAGTGGACTTCTTCCGTATTTTCTTCGTCCAACCTTAACCTTTATGAAAAAGAAAAGGATGAAGAATATATGACTGCAATTAAAACTGCACGCTCATTCAACGTTTAATGTGGTATTATTATTATTATTATTATTAGTAGTAGTAGTAGTAGTAGTAGTACGAGCTAATGACATTAATGGGAATGTTAAAGACCACATTATACATACGGTCAGTGTTTTTATTAACATTCACGCTCAGTGGTTTTGCTTTCACTTTTGTGTTTTTCTGGCCACTTTTCCTAAGAACTTCCTCAAAAACAATTTGGAATAATTGAGAGGTAAAACCGGGGGTGATCATTTTTTTTTTAAATTACAACTAAAACTGAAGGGTAAGGATGTGAAGGTAACTTCTTGTGATTCCCTTTGCCTTCCTTTAACAATATATTTTCCCAAATGAACCCTTCTTACATAATTTCTGACAAATGGCCTTTAAGTCACCATAGTGTTCATCAAACCACTGACTGTGAATATTTTTATAATCAAGATTAAAACTACCAACACTGTCTCCATTTTTTTAAGTGGATAACTCCAAAATAAAGTGTAAAATTTGCTCCAACGACCTCAAGATGTAGCAGCCACTCATTTGAGCAGCCCTTAAAACCTGTTCTGGAAATGCAAAGACAGAAAACTGTTGCTATCTGTTACGATTACATAATATATTGAAAACCTTAAAGATTAAATATTAGCAAAAAAAAAAGGAATCCAATAAGAGGCAAAAAAACAAAACAAAACAAAACTTGTTAGTTAAGCAACAAGCACCCAGCACCTTGCAGGAACTAATACAAACCAGTTCAAAATATGGGTTTACATGCAGAAAATAAATTCTTCATTTCTTTTTTCTTAATCTGCCATTTACCCTCCCACATGGGAACACAGGGCATAATCACACACCCATTAAACAGACAGAAGCATTCAGGAGCTGTGCAAGGTGAGGGGATATTAAACAGTTCACTACAGGAAGGATATTACTGCACACAGGTCAGTCAGCCCAGCAAGTATTAATCAAACTTATCCATAATGCTGGTGCTTGTGGCGTATCAGCTTTAACAGTTTTAAGATGGTGTGGGAAAGCTGCATGAGTTAATAAAAATGATTTTTTTTTTTAAAAAAAAAGGTCAAATCTTGAGGTCGTTAGTTTTGTTTTAAATTGTTGTTGTGCCTAAGAACTAAGGAAACCCACAATGACATTCAAAGATTAATAACCAGCAGACGTAACATGATATAATTCAATCCGGGGAACAGGGGGGGAAACAAAACAAAAACAAACAAACGAACAAAAAACAACATCAACAAAACAGCGAAAATATAACAGTTCGTTAGGCAAATGTCTTCCACTGAATCCGCGACGACATGAAATATTTATTTTGGTTTCTACGCACAATAATCAGACGAATCAGACGAAGAAAATTACTGAGTTTTAACAATTTAAAAACGTTATAAAAATGTTTGCCGACATTGCAGTGTTTTCAGTGCAAACCCCGGCTCGTAAACAAAAAAGCACCAGGCCTAGCTTTCATCTATAAGCTAGTCTTAGCCAGTTAGCTAAAGATGAACTAAAAACTCGCATCCGTTGCGCATAAAGTCGCCTTTTATTGTTTAAATTTGTGCAATTTATTTTCTTTCTAAAACCCAGCTTTCGACCAAAGAGTTGGGCCAACAAGGTAAGCTGGGTACTACTAGCCAACAAAATATGAATAAGGTTGTTACCGTTACAATTTCAGTTACCCTGTCAAACCCAATGATTTGAAATGTTTAATGCATTACAAACGGTAATAAAATGTATACGTACCCGGCCTTTGTCGTTATCGCTCATTTTTGAAATTTAATCTATTGTTGACAGATACTCTACAATCTACACTACACAGTCTCCGTGTGTGAGACTCTAGCTCCACCCCCAGGTCTGCATCTAGAAAGATCCAGCAGTCTCGGGGCTGGCTATCGCGTTTTTACGTGCCAAACACGAGATTTGGTTACGTGTAGAATTTCCCCCAAGAGGCCACGTGAGAAACTCGGAGTGTTGTGAAACAAGCTGAACTTAATTCTGCACGATGTTAATTTTTTTTAATTTCTTTTAAAACTGGTACGGGTAGGAGTAGATGTAACAGTTAGGCAATGAAAATGTAAAATAGGCACAGCAAATATGCCAACATTTTTATCACAATTTAATCCAAAAACAACAGTAAACTTTTAACTTTATAGCAAGTCCTGTTGCTATTTTGCTTGTAGTTTAGTTACTTCATCAGCACTTTTTCAGTTCTTTTTTTTTTTT